AGGAGTTATTACAGTGAGCAAGGAAAACCATGGAATTTATGAGGTTGAATTAAATGAAAATAGAATTGCCAATGTTCAACTTTTCTGGACCCACAAAAATGATGAATTTTAATGGATCATTGTAAATACATTCTGGCAAGAGAAAAAAAAACTGCACTGCCCAATTAATGGCTTGATTACAACTGTGAAAAGAACTATGAAGGAGAAATCAGAGGTGATCCAGTCTCATGTGCACGCATGCATGTCTGTGTTGGTAGCCAAGAAAGGTTTCCCTATGTGAGTTACTTTTGAGGACACAAGAATGAAGAAGAATTAACTTAGTGATGGAGAGAGAGGGAGATCACTCCTGGCCAAGTCAGGTACAAAGGCTGGAAGGACAGGAATCGGGCATGTTCCCTGGCTGAGAATGTGACTGAGCCAGAAGAGAGTCAGGGATGACAGAGGATGAAGCTGGAGGCAAGCAGGAGCCACATCAGGTAGAGCTTCATAGTTGCATTAAGATTTTATGCCATCAGGTTTAAAAGACAATGGCATATTATTTATATTCAACAGGTGGCAAAGTCTAGAGTTACAAAAAATGCTCTCTCCCTTGCTACAGACAGCTATTCTGCTAGGATAGGGTTGCCACAGGATTGGAACCTAGGTTCTTCGAACAAGCTTTCTGTTTTTTTTGTTTGTTGTTTTTTTGGTACCGGGGATTGAACTCGAGTCCATGCGCTTGTGCAGCAGGCAGCGAAACCACTGAGCTAAATCCCTGGCCCCTCAACAAGTTTTCTGAACACCAAATCCCCCTGGGAGGGTGAAAGCAAACTGCAGCAGGCAGGGAGGCCAGGGCCTCTCTTGGTGGAGGTCAAGGAGGCTCTATGCAACCCGGATGCCCACCTGGGGCTGCCCGGCAGCTTAGTGCCCAGTAGTACTGTAGGAACCAGCACATGAAGAAGCAGCAGATGAGTTTTTCCAGGTAGCTATTAAGGCCCAGCAATGCCAAGCTGAGGGGGTGCAGGATCCAGAGCATGGGGATGGCACAGCACCTGATACCCTCATCTTGCCACCCAGGGCACCAGCAGTGTGTGGTAGGAATCCAGGCCAAGGACAAAGCAACAGCTGTCCTGACACCATGGTCATTCCTGGCCCTGTGTCATTGTGAACTGGCAGGGCAGGGTAGGGGCTGAGAGCACCACGCCAAGCCGACTAGGGCACAAGCACCTCCAGGAAGGCCACAAAGAGGGCCCCAGTGGTACTAGACAGGCCCAAGCATGCCTAGCCATGCTCCACCTTGGCCAGGTTGAGCAGGTAGAGACTCAGGGTCTGGCCCAGGCACTCACTGCTGCAGACAAACACTGCCAGCAGAGCCTCAGTGGCAGGTAGCCCCAGGTCCAACATCGTCATAGGCCAAGGGCACCATGATCATTCCCACCAGGTCATCCCAGGGACTACAGCCTCCAGCACCCAGGTCCTCAACACTATTGACCTTGAACTGGGGGAGAAGAAGAGAGTCACTGTAGAGGCCTGCCTACAAAAAGAAGACCCCATTCTATCCTCTTCCCATTGCAGTCCCCTCTCCTTCAGTCCTTGCTGGGAGGGAATACTAGAGGCAAGGAAGACCAGGAGAGAAGAGATGAGAACCAAATTCAGCCAGAGAGGAGGGGAATGGATCCCAGAGTTCTTGGTGAAAAGCTGCGGGGAATGAGAAAAAAGCAATTCCAGAAAGCTCAAAAATTTCCAGCCTTGGCACCTGGAAGGTGGAAGTGCCTCTTATGGATGAAGTATGGTCAAAGATGTGGGCCACAGATATGTGAAGCAAACCCACAGAGGGCTGAACCAACAAGGAGTTCTAGAGAAACCAAGCTGGGATATAAAGAGAGCCCTTCCCAGAGAGAGGTCCAGCCCCCTCCCTGCACCACCCAGATCAGTGGTAGAGGGAGTGAGGCATAGATGGAGGAATGGTCTTGTGATGCTGGAACAAAGACAGGCCTAGCCATAGTGACCCTGGACTTGCCTTGGTGAAGGTCCCCTGGGAAGATGCCCCAAGGTCTGCAACACCCTTGGTAGAGCCAAAAAGGTTTCACATCTCTCAAGCCTTCCAGGCTGTTTCCTCATACTTCACCTTCTGACCACAAAGAAGTCCTAGGTCAGACTCATAACTCTGGACAGCAAAGCAAAAACAACACAGGCCCAGGAATCTGGCAGCTTCTGGATACAGACATTTATTTGCCATGTAACCTTGGGCAAGTTACTCAGCCTGAGGCTGACTTCACTGCTGTAAAATGGAGATTACAATACCTATCTCATAGGGTTGTTGGGAGGATTATGAGAAAACATAAGTAAAACTCTGAGCCCTGAGGGTGACACTGGGGAGATACTTCATAACTGTTAGCTCCTTCCCTTTGAGGCAGCACACAGATTAATGTGTACACCCACACAAGCACATATACAATGTTAGAGACAGACACCCTAAGCAAGTAAAACACAAAAACATCTGGCATCTGGGCATATCCTACCCTCTCCCTAAGGGGTATAAGTGCATAAACCCATTTCCTGTTACTATTTTCAACACGTAAACGTATCCCTAGGATGTTCTAAAACTCAGTCCCTCCAATACCAAAATCTAGACTTCTGCCATTGAGCCTCTCAGCCTCTGGTCTTCTGCAGGATTGAGTATATTCTTCTCCTCCTTCAGTTCTCGGCTCTAGTCCCCATAAACCCCATCTACAACTCCCTCCATCATCCAAGATTATTCAAATTACCTCTTGTTCTAGGTGCTAGAGCTCTCTAGGGTCCTGGGATCCTAGCTTTAAGGTGTTGAGACAGGACAGAATCCCCTCCCACCCACACATGTCAGGAGCTCCAAGTTAATCCCCAGGACATGACCTGAAGAATGGGCTCAAAACCGCCAGAGGTGGCAGGTGTGAGCGGGGTTTGTGGGGGTGCAGCCAGGGTTCCAAGGGAAGGGAATGTCATGCAGGGTAGGAGCGCCTTCAGCACAGGAAGGCAGAAATAAGGTGTTAGGAAGACTAGGCAGCTGAATGTTATTGTGCTGAGCTGACCTGGTCTTAGGCTGCAGATTGGGGGGGGGGGCATATTTTCTGAGGCCTGGCTTCTCTTTGGGCTACCGAAGAGGTACTGCTGAGGCTCAAGATACTCCTATGCTGTCAATCCCAACTGCTCCTCCACATCAGGTGGCCAGCCCCTTTCTCCAGCACCTTGCCTATTCCACAGTTGCTGGGCCAGCCCTACAGCCAAGCTTGAGGAGCTGGTTGCTGCTAATCCACCCAGGGCCCAAGACTTGGTAAACAGATGCCCTCAAGAGCATGCCAGCTGTGACAGGTTTTACTCAAAGTCCCGACTAAAGACAGGCTCGCTATAGCATCCTGGAGAGAGTGGAGAAACTATGAGGCCATGATCTCAGGGGCTCCAGGTTCTATTTTCACAAGTCTCAAAATTTTCAGGCAGAGGGGCAATTCTGGAAAGCAGGAAAAATTTAATCACAGTAGACAAGTCTTCCAGGTGTCATGCTTGCCCATTTTCAGCTTTGGCAGCTGGTACAGTGGAAAGTGTGGGTTCTGAAATCAATCAGGCCTTACTTTTAGACTGTTTTGATACACAGATAATAACACTTTCCAGTATTCTCTTTGGTAGAACAAATCAATATTTAATAGCCTTTACTGAGCACTTACTATGTTTCAGGCTATGAAATATTTACTGTTATGGTCCTTTTTTTTAACTTAAGTTATGAAGTGCCAGCTCAATGGTGCACATCTGTAATCCCAGCTACTCAGAAGGCTGAGGCAGGAGGATCACAAGTTCAAGGCCAGTCTGGGCAACATGGTGAGACTCTGTGTCAAAAAATAAAAAGGGCTGGAGATATAGTTCATTGGTAGAGTACCTGGGTAGTATGTACAAGGCCCTGGGGTTTAATCTCCATCATGGAGGGGTGGAGAGAGCTAGGAAGTGGCAGATAATACCTCCTCCCAGCCACCTTACTAGTGATTGGTTTAGGAATGGAAATGTGACACAATTCTGGCCAATGAGATATGAAGGAAAATCTAGCTTTCCTTTCTCTGCCTTTTCATCTTTGGATGTTATGTGCAAATATGCTGTCTGGAGCTGCTGCAGCTATTTTGCAACGCTGAAGGAAGTAGCCAATGAACTGAAAACAGCAGAACAGAAAGCTGAAAAGTTGGTCCTTACTGTTTTTATTAGTTAGCCCAATTAGCCAACACTGAAACTGAAGCTATCTCTGAACCCGTTATGTGAAAGAAAGTCTTATTGACTATGCCACGTGCATTTACATACTACTGATTCATCCTTGTTATAGGTAGACTGAGTGCATTACTGTGCTTGAAGACACAAGGAAAGAGCCAACTAAGAGTGTCAACTTGCTTGAGGTTCACGTCTGTCAGGGACAGAGCAGGAATTACCATTGTATTGTATAGTGAACACAAAGTGGAATAATACACATAGATGTCTTTTACTACTGTGGCTCCCCAAATCTATTGTCCCTACTCCAAAAGATTTACAGGCAGATGGCTAAATACTTGCTTAACTAAATGAACTCTTTTCCTTCATTCTTTTCCCTTGTGATTCCCACAAGGACCCCACTGGACTGCTTGATGACACAGCAGTAGGTGCCGTAACATGTTGCCTACTTTCCCTTGAGAACTGCCATACACATATCCTTCTGATCCCCAAGGACCTCTCCAATGCCTCCCAAGCCTTGGGCCCTGCTGTACCATTCAGCATTCCAGGGAGCTGGCTGTCTCTTGCGTCCATGTAGAAGTCAAGAAGCACTGAACTGAGTGCCACACCTCACTACCATAGGCTGGTGATTTCTGGTCTTATGACTTGAGCCCACCTTTGTTAGTTCTGTAAATCTAAACTATGAGAGATAAAAAGAAATGGGAAGGAATCCCTCATATGGCTCAGAAGGGTATAGGCAGAAGCAGATAAACACTGCCTCCAAATTTTTGAGTATGTATTAATAACCTTTACAATGTGCATGCCTTTTGAACCAGCATCTTCATTTCTAGGGAATGCAAATACAGTATAAGTATGCAAAGGTGATTTGTTGTGAGGTTTACAATTACAGAAAATTGGGAACAACCCAAATGTTCCTTATAGGAGGTAAATACAATATACACCCTTACAATGGAATATTATATAGCTATTAACATTGATGAGGTAAAACACAATGGCAGAATGTCAGGTTTAAAAAGTAGATAACAAAGTAGATTAAATTATCTCATCTTCATTTAAAAACATGTATCTGTACAAAGGAATAGAAAAGGTTGAGAGGTATAGTTATACCAAGGCAGGAAAAGTGGTTATCTGGGTGATTCAAATTTTTGGTGATTCAAATGTTTTCTATTTATTTTCTATTTTCACATGACATGAGGATTATTAATATGTGTAATATACATCCCTCAAAACAGAAGAGCATAGTTACAGAGAGAAATCAGGGCCAGGTAGACCAGATGTTTCTTTCAACACTGGATGACTAGGAACAAACTGATAATAAAATGGTAGGCTCTGTATGTTCAAGCATGTTCCTGCTGTCATAGCTGGCATGAAGAGACTCTCTGCTCCCAGGGTTTCTTCAACACACTCTTCTTCCTACAATATCTGCCCACCTTTTTAGTTTGGACTAAGGATTGGCAGATATCCAGCAGCCTCAGAAGCCCCAGGCAGATGATGGCGGGGATGCACGTACTCAGGCACTCTTTCAGGCATGCCAATGTGAAGATAGCCCCTGGAATGGAAAGTGAGGTCCCTGAGTCTCCCCGGGTCACTAAGGAGATCCAGGGACTCAGGAGTTCCATCCTAGGCTGACCTACTCCAGTCCAAGCTTCTGGTTATACACTGAACCACGACATACCCCACACCAAACCAGATATACTCATATCTGATCTCACAGAGAAAGCAGGACCAAGAATTAGAACCCTTTCAAACTAAGGCCCTCTCCAAGAGCAAGCAAGAAAGAGAAATGATCCAGCCAAACCAGGGACTGAGGTGGGAGGACGGGGACTGGGGAACAAATTCTCCCTGATTCTTTTCCTGTCTTAATTCTACATCGACTGAAGGGAAGGAGGCCAGAGGACTGGTGATGGAAGTGTGGCAAAGATCTTAAAATGAAGAAAGTTCAGGAAATGGAAAAGAATGCTTGGGGAGCAGGGTGGTAGTAGTGGCAGCAATGGTGACATTGGCCAGGGGATGTAGAAGAGCCTGAAGATGTCTGGTCACTGAAGTATGAGCTGTCTTTGCACATAAGCAGCCCCTGTGGGCAGAGATTTAGGAGGGGCCTCTCTAGGGAAATTCTCTACCTTCTTGTTCAAGGGGCCCCACTTCCCTGCTCTCTACTCCCACCTGTAAGACTCATAATCAAGAGGCAGCTGCTGCTCCACCCCCTCATCCCAGGATTGGGCATGTAGAGGAAGGGGTAGGGGCTGTGAGGTTACAATACATCCTCACAATGGAATACTACCTAGCCATATAAGTGATGATGGAGAAAGTGTACTTGACATGGGTCAGTGTTATGATATGTTAAGTTGCAAAAGCACCTGTCCTAGCCTGAAGAGTAGAAACTGAGCAGAGCAGAAGTACTCCTGTTCCCAGAGAAAAAAGGTGACAGCAGTAAGGTGGAACAGCTAAATCTATCATCTTCCCCCAGAAGACCCATTTCCCCAGGCCAGCTGGCCCCCTTACCCATCATTAGCAGGGTCAAGAACAAGTTACTGATCTCTTGTAGTATCGGTGGGCCCAAAGCCATCAGCAACCCAGCCAGCAGTTCCAGCCAGCCCACAGTTGTTTGGTAGTTCATGGGATCAGGCTGGTAGCCAAACAACTTCAAGGGAAACACTTCAGCAAACTGCACGAACAGGGCTTTCTAGGGGTGGCAGGGAATACCTATCAGCCACACTGGCCAAGGTTGCACCGCCCAGAGGCCCCACAGGGGCATTGTACACCTGTCCCCTCAACTTTCCCAGGAAAGCAACTACTATTCTACACCAGATCCAGGCCTGAGAGAGGAGAGGACCCCTCATGAGGGTGAGCACTGGAACCAGGGAACCAGCCTAGGCTCCAAGTGAGAAGGGCTGGGTGGAGTTGTCGAGACTACTTGACTTCCTTGAAACAGATTATAACTCAGATCCAAATCCCAGTTAGAGGGAATGTGCCCTGGGCCTTCCCATCTAATGCCAAGGCCTTAGGAATGCCACAGATCTTTCCTTCCTGCCGGGCCTGGTTTCTCTTCAGGCTGCTCAGCAGGGAATATATGAAGATGGGGTCAGAAGAACTCATTAAACAGATTTTACCTCCAATCTCCAGTGTGGGGTCCTACATCCCTCTGTGGTAGATAAAAGGAGTGGGTGAAGGAGCTCAAAGTGACTTATCTGGTTGTTCAAATGATTCATTTTGCCCTGAGTCAAAGGACAGATTTACCCTGACCCTCAGGGCTATCTGCTCTTCACCTTAGCACTACCTCTCCACTCAACCCTGGAATGAAGAAACTCTAAGCCATTTGGCTCTAGCCATGTACTGCTCCCTATAAACCACCACTCTACGCCAAAGAAGAGGGAATCACCAGGCCTAGGAAAGGGAGACCTCTGTTACCTTGCTGTTCCAGCCCTGGCTACTCCCTCTGCTTAGCTAGCCATAGTGGCACAGCCTGGAATCTGAGCACTCTGGGAAGCTCAGGGAGGAGGATGGCAAGTTTGAGCCCAGCCTAGGCAATCTAGTGAGACCCTGTCTATAAATGTAAACAAATAAATGTGGTGAACATAGCTCCGTGTGAAGGACTTGAGTCAATGTTACAGTGTGTTAAGGTTCAGTTCCCGATAAGAACAACAAACCAAGTCTGGCTTCTTTGAGGGACTGGGGGGATTGGTGGTCAGGGCATGAAACCTTGCCCTAGTTTGGAATCAAATACGAAGGAGACTGGCAAGGATTTCTAGGCTTCTCTTTCTGGCTTCATGGGGGAAGAATTCTGGATTCTGAGTTAGAAGCCTCTAGTTTGGGTCCTGCTTCCTGTCTGGTCGAATAACCTTTAGCAGATTACCCTTCACCCTCGGGGTGCGTTTCCTACCCTGCAAAATGAAGATTAGTAGAGCACTGCCTCGCGAACATCAGAGTACTCCGAAGCGAACGAGGTACAGGTGGGGAGCACGCTCGGCCACTCCCCCAACCCCACCCTCGGGTCCCCGGCCTTCTTTGCAGTCTAAATTTGCCTGGGGCCAACGGGGCTCAGCCAGAGGGAAAGTTCCGTCCCCTCCCGCCTCCGGAAGATCCCAAGAACTCGAGTAACTCCGTAGGAAGGCCCGGCGCTGCCCCCTAGCTCCAGGGCAGTCTAGCCGGGAGGCAGGCGGCCCGCGGGGGCTCGGCGGGGCAGCCAGGCCAAGCACACGCCGCCCCCGTCCCGGCCCCGCTGTCCCGCCGCACCGCTCACCATCTGCTCGGACTCCGGAGCCGAGAGCGGCCAGAGCTTGGCCGCCCCGGTGAGCGCGAAGAAACCGCCCAGCAGGACGCGCAGCGCGACGAACACGAGCGCCATGGCCGCGCCCGCCCTCCCGGACGCCCTGACGAAAGCCCGCCCCGCCCCCGGCGCATCTCCCCCAGAGCGGCCGCCCCAGCTGCTCGCCCTAGCCCCCCGGGGGGTTGCCGCGGTTTGCGCCAGTCGCGTGCGCAGGGCGAAAGCGTGTGGGTGGAACACCTCGTCTCGCAGAGGGATACACTGAGGCCCTAACTGGTAATTGGCCCCTCTCATCTAGAGAAGTCTGTCTCCCAGGCAACACCAAGCGAAAGCAAACGCGGGGATGTGGCTGTAAGACCCGGCTTCATTCCTGCCTGGGCCACACTACTGGTGGATCTGAGCTGTCACCCTACCCCAGCAGTTCTCCTTGAGTTGGTAACAGGCCTACCAAAATTTCCCCTCAGTAAGGGCTAAGAAAATTAGTTGTAAATTAAGCTAATTTATAGTTAAATCAATAACCAGTAATTGTAAAAATGTCCTTTTCCATCTTTGCCTGAAATATATTTTCCTTCTAAGTTCTCTCAGCTGAAATTGAAATGTGAAAAGTTTGAAAATTCAGATAACAAGCCACGGGAAGAGAGGCTTTCACCGAACAAAGGCCTGACATCTAAGGGTAGATGGGCAAACACAGGCCAAATTCTGCCATCGGTCTTTATTATTATTATTATTATTATTATTTTTAACTCTCCTCTCCCTTCAAGAAGTTTACTTTTTTTTCCAGTACCGGGGATCAAACTCAGGATCTTGGGCTTGCAAGGCAGGCGAGGCAACCCTGAGCTAAATCCCCTGGCCAAGATGTTTACACTTTTTTTTTTTTGGTACTGGGGATTGAACTCAGGGCCTTGAGCTTGCAAGGCAGGCAACAGAACCACTGAGCTAAATCCCTGGCCCAAACTTTTTTTTTTTTGGTACCGGGGTCAAACTCTGGTCCTTGCGCTTGCGCAGCAGGCAGCGAAACCACTGAGCTAAATCCCCGGCCCATGTTTACACTTTTTAATGATGAAAATTTTTTCAAGTGTCTTCCATAACACATGAAAATTATGAGAAACTCGTATCTCAGCGTTCACAGATTTAAAGGATTCTTGAAACACAGCCATTATGTCTATGGCTATTTTGCATTGCAAACTGCAGAATAGTGGCCAAAGTATTGAGGCAGGAGAAAGGTTGTGACGGCTTAGGTGACAGCTGGTGGCCAGGAGAAAAAAATTCTTTTGGAGGCAAACCTTTGCTCCAACCTTACCTCACTCCACTGTTTGATGTAAAGGCAGGTCTCAAACGTGTTAGTTGTAAATTACTAAGAAGAAAATAGGATGGGCACTAAGGAGTTGATTTTGGCAGAGATGCAAAGTAACTGAGACCCTCATTTAAATGATCAGACACCCATTAAGGGGGGGTACTACTGGCCAAGCACAAAACAAGAGTTGAGTACAAAATCATATGTGGACTGTGACTGCTACATGTTCTTGGGTATACAATATGATACACTTCTTACACTTGCTAAAGCTTTTACAGTGGATCCTCAACATATGACAAACTCAGTTTGTTCCCAAAGGCTGGTTGTAACTCAAGTTAGTTAATTGCCTTCAAAGTCTCTCTCTCCTTATAATTTTAGGCCACCTTCTTCCAGGCAGATCTCAGTGCTCTTAGAAAGACAATGGCCCAGGATTTCTCAACCCCACAAAGGAAAGGATGTTGTAACGTTCCTTCCAGAACTCTTTAAGCATTAAATCTGAGACCAGCTGGAAACACAAGTGACTGGCATGCATACATGTCGTAACTCATGACTCTATTCGTAAGTTAAAACTAAAACTCCAGTCATAACCCAAGTTCATATGATAGGCCGGTTGTAACTCTAGGGTCCACTGTATTTTAAAAAGTATATTATCCAGCTAAGCATGGTGGCACATGCCTGTAATGCCAGAATTCTGGGAGGTTGATGAAAGTGATTTTGAATTTCGGCCTAACTTGGGCAACTTAGCAAAACTGTCTCAAAAAATTTTAAAAGGGCTGGGAGGTAGCTGAGTGCAAAGGCCTTGGGTTCCATCACCAGGAAAAAAAATGCATGTAATTTCACTGAACCTCCAGCACAGGACTTCTCTGTAGAATAGCCTCCCTTGCTGTTCTTTATCCTGTCAACAGAGCAGCCCAATACTGCATCCAGGTGATTCTAATAAACTGTCCCTTTACTAATTCTCTTTGGCAGTGTCTTTCATCTTTTGTGAGTCAAAGAACTCATGGTGCTAGTGACAGGATAGCTACAAAGCCTACAATATTTACTACCTAGCCCTTTATGAAAAGTCTGGTTTTTGTTTTTGGTTTTTTGGCACAGGGTCTTGCTATGCAGTTCAGGCTGGCTTTGAACTCTAGGCAATCCTCCTGCCTCAGCTTCCCAAGTGCTGGGATTACAGGCATGCACCACCACGCCTGGCTTTATGAAGTCTGCCAAGCCCTGGTCTTGTGGGCCAGAGAAGCCCCAAATAAGGGTCTCAAACTTGCATGCTGCTTCCAGTTCCAGTTAGCCAAGCTACTTAGATCTGTTTTACATAACCTACTGTGGATAGGTGGTTGCTTGGATGAAGACTGAAATTTCTTGTCCTGTTGAGTTCAAACTCTTTCAACATCCAGGTTGTGCTATTACATTATCAACTGGGCCTTTTATTATCTGGAATCTTGGTCACTAATCCAAGTTTATATGCCCATTTAAGAACTAAATTCTCTACCTTCGATTGTTAAAATTATATGTAATAATGTACAAATGTGTAACTATTAAATCTCTCCATGAAAAGGGAAAATTTATTAAAGCACTTATTTAATCGCAAATCCACAAACAAATTCACATTAGGAAATTATATTTTAGCATATTTATACAAACTTTAACACAAAATTATAGACTTTGATGATATCAGCAATATGCATGTTGCTATTCTTTCTCTTTTACTAGTTTTTCTATCCTTGGAATTAATGATGTGACTGCAAGTCTTAAGGCAGGGCCAGAAACCAAGAGGTTTCTTTGTTTTGACTCTGTCAAAGCTGAAAATGTAGCATCACACAAATAAACAGTTGAAAAAGGCAATAAAACTTTCACTGCCTTTTCATGGAGTTCTGGATAACTTGTTTTTGCATTTATCCAAAACTGAGTTATAGACATTGACTTAAATACTGATTGTAATCCTAAATCTGAAGATAACTGTGTTAGTTTCTCTTCTTCAAAGTCAGTGAGATTATTATTTTGGTGATTCATAAAAGGATTAATTACCCACAGATTCCCTGAACGCAAATCATCCTCTGGTGGGTGACAGTCATGGAACATTTGAGAAAGTCCTTTCAGGTGCTCAAAAATAATGCTTCTGAGATTTTTCACATTCAAGTCTGATGAGTTTGAGAATTCAGAAAATGAAGGGAACATGTCATAATCATTCTCTTGTGTGCGCTTCAACCACATCTTTAACTTTTTCTTAAATACATCAATTTTGTCACATAAACTGAAGCAAGTAGTCATGGTTCCTTGGAGACTTGAATTTAATTCATTTATAAGTGAAAATATATCTGCTAAATAGGCCAGCTTTGCAATCCATTCCTCATCATGAAAGTACTTGGCCAAATCTGAATGCTTTTGATTTAAAAATATTTCCATTTCATGTCGTAATTCAAATAATCTTGTTAAAATTCTTCCTCGTGACATCCAACCTACTTCAGCACGAAGAGGTAAATTCACGTGCTCAGATCCCATCTCATCACACAAAATTGTTAGCATTCGTGAATTCAATGCATTGCTCTTTACAAAATTTAAAATTTGTGCTGACTGCAAAAGAATTTCATGTAAGCACAGAGACAACTTTTCAGCTGCTAAATGTTCACGATGAATAAAACAATGTGTAAATGCCACTGAATTCATAGCAACTTCTTGAACTTTTGCCCTTAAGCCAGAACATCTGTCAGTCATACTTGCAGCACCATCAGTACAGAGACCAACACAGTATTTCCAGTTCAGAGATTTACTATCAATATATTTATTTATTAGTTCAAATATTTTAAAACCAGTGATTTGAGAAGACATTTCAATGCAAAATAATAATTCTTCTTTTATATCACTACAATCATAATCAATGAAACGAATATAGCATAACAGAAGGGTCACAGCAGAGAATTCTGATGACTCATCTATCTGAAGGGCAAACCACTTTGACTCTCTGACCTTGTGAATCAGCTGGTCTTCAATGTCTGCAGATAGTTCATCAATCCTGTATCCAATTGTATTATTAGAAAGAGGAATGGTTTGCATTTTGTCTCCAGCACTTGAACCCAAAACCTCTGAACACATTTCTACTAAATATGGTTTAATTAATTCTTCTGCAATGGAGAATGGCTTCTTGCTGGCAGCAATTTGGAAAGCAATTAAATAAGAAGCTTTCACAAGTGACTTTTCAACTAGTAAACACTTTTTTAAAGAACTGTTTTGACATTCCATTTCAAGAGATTTCTGTTCAAAAAAATCTACTGGCTTGTCTTCTAATTCTGAATGTTTTGTCTTCAAATGATGAGAAAGATTTGCTGGCTTCATGTTTTCACTGGGTAAAATTTCTCCACAAATGACACACTGTGGTCTTGGTGAGCTCTCTTTTGATCCAGGACAGATAATAAAACCAACTTTTAAATATTCTGCATCATAAGTGTGGAAAAACCCTATTCTCTTTTTCTTTGCAGGTGGAGCATTAAACTCTGCATCACTTTTCTCATTAAGCATAGGTAAATCTGAAGGAAATAATTGAGATCACTGTTTTAGGTTCAAGAACAAATATGCAATGTTCTTTGTTTTTCCCCTACACATTTAAAATTTATATTTGGCTACTTGTATTTATCAAAAGAACACAGTGATTGAAAACAAACCATAATCCTCCATGATGCCATTAAAAACTGAATTTCTCCTTTGCCCAAACTTGGTCACTAACTATAATAAAACTGGAGGCTATGGAACAGGTATAAGTAATCCCAAGTATCCAACAGATTTCTGGAATTAGCTTTGAAGTCCAAAGAATACATCAAATTAAGAGTAAATTACTTTATTTCAAAGAGTTTAGAAAAAACAAAAGACAAAACAAACATCAGAAAAAGTTAACAATTTAGTGAATCTAGATAAAGGATGTGCTGATATTCATTATATTTTATTTTCAACCTGTCTGAATTGTGAAATTTTTGAAAATTAAAGTGAGTAGGGCCAGGGATTTAGCTCAGTGGTTCCGCCACCTGCTGTGCAAGCGCAAGGACCTGAGTTCGATCCCCGGTACCAAAAAAAAAAAAAAAAAAAAATTAAAGTGAGTGAAAATATAAGGGTAATTATTGACTTTAAAAACCAATGTCGGGCTGAGGATTTAGCTCAGTGGTTCCGCCGTGTGTTGCACAAGCACAAGGACCCGAGTTCGATCCCCGGTACCAAAAAAAAAAACCAATGTCAGTGAGTGTAGATCAATGGATCCTCTCTAACACTGATGGTTAAAACATAAACTGATACATAACTTTTCAGGAAGGCAATTTAGCAGCAGGTTTCAAAAGCCTTAAAAATCTATGATAGACTTTGAATCAGTAATTCTACTGCTTAGGATTTATCCTAAAGACATAATAAAGCAAGTGGACAAAAATCCATTAACACAGCTTAACTAAAAACTGCTTATAAATATTAAAAATCTAGGGCCTGGAAGTATAGCTCAGTGGCAGAGCACTTACCTAGTATGTATGAGACCCTGCATTTGACCCTGGACAAAAGAACCTAAACATCTGCTCTTACAAGATTAGTAATGTTATATATACTGGAGTCTATATCTATTAAGAATCTCAGTGTAGGGCTGGGAATTTAGCTCAGTGGTGCCGCCGCCAGCCTCTCAAGCGCACGGTCCTGAGTTTAATCCCCAGTACAAAAAAAAGAAAAAAGAAAAAGAAAAAGAATCTCAATGTAACTGAGTGTGGAGGATCATGCCTATAATCCCAGCTACTCCAGAGGCCAAGGCAGGGGGACCACAAATTCAAGGCCAGCCGAGACAACCCAGTGGTACAGAGCTCCTAGGTTCTTTCCTCAGTACCACACACATACACACAAAATCTCCCAATGTATATTTAAATTTCTATTGACATGGACTGTTTTCAATGCAATGTAAAATGACAAAGTAGCTTACAACATTAGACATATGAACTGTACTTTTAGTAACTAACAACTGAATTCGGTATTTAAAAAAATAAAACTAAGGTTTAATCAATAATGCTTTTAACCAAATCCTTATCTTAGAAATTATAATAGTTTGTACATTTAGAAAACAGCAATGTATCCATGTAGGAGATATCTGTCTACTCTGTGCATAATGCTTTGTGTGCATATGGATTCAAAGTATGTGATCTAGAAATTAAGGAATGTTTTCACATTCAAGAAATTGCCAAATACGTTCTTTAAAGAATCAAACAAAGTATTCAAAAAGAAACAATAAACAAAAAACTTTTGACAGGGAAAGCACAAGAACACGTACCTGTCTGACATTCCTTGTGTTGGGTATGTGGTTTGCAAGAGATGGCCTTGGTCTGTGTGACAGGTTTGCATAATATACCTTTGTTCTTTAGAAGCTTAGGAAGCTGAGAAGACTGAGAAGACAGACATTTCATGGCATCTGACTGTGCAGTTTTCTGGTTAAAAACAAATTCAAGAACCAAAGAGAGTTTTTAGTACCTTATCACTGACTATAACTGTTATCATATGAAAGATGATATATCAAGAGAAATACCATTCTGAAAGAACAGTTCCCCAAAAGGCCTACTTTGGAAAATATATACTTTAATTCCTAATTCTCCTAATCAGTGTTAGTTCCATTTACTGATGGGGCGGGTACCAGGGATCGAACTCTCGACCTTACACTTATGAGGCAGGCATGGTCCCACCGAGCTAAATCCCTGGCCCATTTACTGATTTTTTAAAAAACATTCAGGAGGCTGAGGGTACAGCTCAGTGCTAGAGCCTTTGTCTTGCATGTGGGAGGGCCTGGGTTTGATCCTCAGCATTGCAAGATAATAACAGCAATAATAAAAATTCTATAATGTGATCTAAATAACAAAAACAATTCTTGCTGATGAGCAAATAGCTACTCAGATAAATTACATCCAATCTCCAACTATATGCAAAAATATATTCTTTCTCAATTAAAGACCTTAACATGAAAAAAACCAAAATTTAAAATTACTGGAGAATTTTCAAATTCCTAGAGCATAGAGAATGTATTCTTAAACACAAAATAAAAACAAAGTAAAAAAAGACTAAGATATTTGACTACTTGGAAATTTAAAACTTTTGTAAACAAAGGTCTCATATAAATAAAGTCAAAGAACAAACAGGAGTAGGAGAATGTATTTAAAACGTGTTTATTCATTCAAGAAATATTTATTAAATTTATTTATAAATATTTATTAAATTGTTCACCACAAGACTCTTCTAAGCCCTGGAGGAATAGCAGAAAACAAACTGGAGTCCTGCTCTTATAGACCTTACATTCTAGACAGAGACATGGAAAACACATATGACAAACCCCTGATGTACAATTTGAGGCAGTGATAAGAGCTGTGAAGAAAAATTAAGCAGAGTAAGAAAATGGAGAGTGAGAGCATGGAGGAGGGATAATTTTGTAGTAAACATCTGAGCAGAGGTCTTCCAAACTACTCAAAAGAGTAAGCCATGCAAAGGCTGAGGTTACAGGAGTCCAGGCAGAGGAACTGTAGGTGCAAAAGCTCTGAGTTGGAAAAGGCTTGGCTGGCACACTTTAGGAACAAGGCTAACAGCACATAGCTAGAGTTCTTACACCCTCCAACACATTTTCGAATCTCTTCCGGTGTTAAAGTGCAATAAACTGTTACAATGTAATTTCCCTTTTGGCCAATAATGTGGCCCAAAAAAATGTGCTGGGGGGGGTGGGTCTGCAAGGGTGGAATGGTGAGACTGGAAAGGCGGGCAGAAACCAAACTACATAAGATCAGAAGGTGCTAGTTTAAAACAACAGCAACAACACAATTAGGACTGAATTTTAAACGTGATGGGACACACACTGGAGATTAAATTTACTTTTTTTTTTTTTTGGTACCGGGCAGGACCTTGAGCTTGCAAGACAGGCGGTGGAATCACTGAGCTAAATCCCTAGCCCTAAATTTACTTTTAAAATAAGTAATGGACACATTCAGTATAAAATTTAAAAGGTATGAAAGTATAAACATGAATGATTGCCAGACATTCAAACTGAACTCTGAATACAACCACTGTTCCTAATTTCTTATATATCCTTCTGGAAATGGTCTATATAAGCAAACAATGATAACATATTAGAAAGTTCAGCACCTTGCTCTCATCACTTAGCAAGCTATCTTGGAGGTGTACATAACTTTGTATGAAGCTGCTTCATGACAGTTTACATAGTATTCCATTACTGAATGTACCATAAATAATTTGAAGAATCCTTGCTGATAAACAATGGAATGTTATAAATCTTGTGCTATTATAAACAATGCTACAGTGACCATTCTTATACACAGATTAATTCTATGTGTTTGTACATTTATAGAATAAAGTTTAAGTATTATTGATGGGTCGCAGGTGTATGATTTTAATTCTGGTGGTACTGCCAAATTGTTTATAGAAATTATAATTGTGTGCCTATATGCAGTATATGTCTGTTTTCCAACATCCATGTCAACAGAGCAGTATCATACATTTTGCTATTTCTCAGTAAGTGAAAAATTATCTTACGATAGTGTGGTTTATTTTTCTTGTGTGAGCATTACTTATGTTTCCTTTTCTATGAACTACCATACCCTTTGCCCTGTTTACTTTTATCTTTAAAAACTTCTATGCATATTTTTGTATTTGTTTTTGTTTTGGGGTACCAGGGATCGAACTCGGGTCCTTGCTCTTCTGCAGCAGGCAGCGAAACCACTGAGCTAAATCCCCGGCCCTTCTATGCATATTTTTGAATAGTAATGCAACATAAAACTCAAAAGATTCAAACAGTAAACAATGGAAAAACCATTTTCTCTCTTAATTTCTCCCCCACTGAGTTCTCAGAGGCAACCACTATAACCTATTTATTGATGGCCTTCCAGGAATATTCTACACATATGAACAAGCACACATTTGGGGGGGGGGAGGTTAAAGCACAGATGGGAATACAGTATACAATCATATGTCTTGTATTTTTCACTTTAGATTTCAAATTGTTCTATGCTTGTACACACAGAGCTGTTTTTCTTTTAACAATTTCACGGTATTCCACTGTATGGATATACCATCGTTATTTTGATTGCAACTCCAAGACCATTATGAATGTGTAGGGGACTCCACTTGCCAGACTATGTAAACAGATGTGGGGTTGGAAAGGGGTGCATTTTAGACTCTGCCTAATTAGGAATATTTTTTCTAATTAATAACTCTAGAGTGAATTCACCATGGCCCTGGTCACTGATGAAAAAACTCTTTTCAAATTTCTGCCATCATAAGCAATGCTGCTTAATATCCTTGTGCCTAATTCATTTCATAAATGTATAAAATATATCTGAGGGATAAATTCCTAAAAATGGGATTCCTGGGTAAATGGTATTTACATTTTAAATTTTAACAGGTTCTACTAAATTGCTCTGAAGCAGTTTTATCCATTCACACTCCTAATGACAATATGTATGGATGTCTTCAAAGTGTTATTCATCATTTTTATCTCTACCAATATGATTAAATTGTACCTCTAATGGTATTTCTCCAGTGTTGAAAATGAGTGTCTTTTCATATGTTTAAGAATTATTTTTATGTCCAGGCATATAAACTGATGAATCATACTTCTGCCCATTTTCCTATTGGGTACTGAGTCTTTTTTTGGGGGGGGCTTTTTTTTTTTTTTTTTTGAGATAGGGTTTCGCTATGTAGTTCAGGCTGGCCTCAAACTTGTTATATACCCCAGGCTGGCCTCGAACTGGATACTGAGTCTTTTTATTGATTCACAGACACTCTAAATATTTTTTTACTAGCTTTTAGTGACACAAGTTGAATACAGTTGAATTTTCCTATGGATTCTTAAATTTTCCAATGGATTCTGTTATGCTCTGGGTTTTGTGAAGTATTTAGAAATACTTTCCCCACTTCCAGCTTATTATATTTTTTCCTATACATTTCCTAGTACTTTTACGGTTTCTTTCATTTAATTTTTTTCTCTTTTCTCTGAACTTCATTGTGGTCTGAGAGGTGGAAATCCAACTGTTTTCTTCTATGTGTCTCTGAGTTATCACATCATTATTTATTGAATAATCAGTATTTCTCCTACTGCTCAGAAATGTCATCTTTATCATTACTAAATTCCCATGGATATATCTGTATCTATTCTCAGTCTTTTCTGAGTTGTCTGCATATTCATGCACCAATATTGGATATCTTAACTATATATGGAACTTTATAATATCTGTAGCTTTTCTATAACTTCAACATGTGTCCCCCTTCTATCTCTCTTAGACAGAAGCTACCTTTCCTCTCAATAAATTTTTCCTACTCTTAAAAAAAAATATGTGAAAACTAGTTCTTTCCCTTCTTTATTCTTTTCCAGGACTTCACTGAAGGTTTCCAGCACAGGGGTAACAGGATTTGATTAGTGTCTTTAAAAAAGATTATCCTGCTGCCGCCTGCCTCGAAAGTGCAAGGTCCCGAGTTCAATCCCCAGTACCAAAAAAAGAAAGATTATTCTGGTAACATAGTGGAGAAAAGAGTACTGTACATAGGACAAGAATGGATTCAGAAACACAGGTAGAAGATCGCTAACAATCCAGAAGAAAGACAATGGGGTTCACATTATGGAGGTAGCAGGGGGTTAAGAAACAGTGAACAATGGAGAGAAGCCTATGCAGAATACAAGGTTTCTGTTTTAGACATGTTTGAGACTGCTATTACTCATCCAACTGTAAATGTCAAGAAGGCAGTTAGATACATGTTTAGAGATCAAAGGTCAAGACAACAGAAATAAATCCGGAATCAACCACTGCCTAGATGGTATTTAAAAACCACCTAAGGTGGGCCAGGGATTTAGCTCAACGATACCTACCGTGCCTGCCTTGCAAGCACTAAGCACAAGGTCCTGAGTTTGATCCCTGGTATCAAAAAACCCCACAAAACCACCTAAGGATGGAGCAGGATGGCACAAGATTTCATAATGGTATTCAGAACAGCAAGCAATTTAAAACTTATGAATTATTTATTTCTGGAATTTTCCACTTAATATTTTCAGACTATGGTTAACTGTGGGTAATGGAAACCAAAGAAACAAAAATCACGACTATAGGGAGACTACTGTATATAAAGAGTTCCTAGGAATCAAGAAGAAAAAGATAATTCAATACAAAAATGGGGGAAAATTTAAAAAAGGAAATGCAAAGAAAAAAATCCAAATTTTAAAAACCCCACAGAAATATAAGCAAACCTACATGTAATCATTGACTAACAAGATACCATCAAATAGACAGGCAAAAAAAATGTTTAAATATGACAATATTAAATAATGATGAGGCAGTAGGAAATGAGTACAATCATTAGTTAGTGGGAGTAAAACATGGAACAGCTACTCTGTACAGCAATTTGAAACCTAAAAATCTAAATACTTTTTGACTCAATGATTCTACTCTTCCATTTCTACACTAGAGAAATATCTCCATGGGGTACAAGGAGACATAGTCAAGGATATTCATTGTGGTAGAGATATTTAATAGTGAAAAAGTAAAAACCCAGTCCATCAATAGGCAATGAATAATATGATACTCACAGATAACACAATACTATATACCAGTCAACAGGAATGTACTAAATCTATTAAGTATCAACATTAATGGATTTTTTAAAAATATTAAAATTTTTCCATGGATTATATATTTGAAAGATTACAAAATTATCTGAAAAGACAAAGTCATAATAGTAGTAGCTTCTGGAGATGTGAACAAGGGACTCCAAATAGTGATTAAAAAAAAAATGGTAGGGGAGGGAACTATGAGCAAATAAGCCAAGTATAACATTAGTTAATTCTGGGTGGTAAAAAGACAGTAGAGCAGGGGTTGGCCAACTATCAACTGTGGGCCAAGTCAAACCCCTACCTGTTTTTTGAAAATAAAGTTTTATTGGAACACAGCCACACTAATTCACTTATGTATTAAGTGTGTCCACCTCTGCACTACATTGTCAGAGGTAGCAGAGTCTCACATTGCAACAGAGACTGCCTGGTATACAAAATCTAAAATACTATTTAGGCTTTTACAGAAAATGTCTTTGACTTTTTCAGATTTTCTTTTTACTTTTTTGTATGTTTTACCATTTCCCAAAATGTACGACCATTTAAATAACCAGAGCGAGATTTACACTAATGTTCGTGGAGGAAAAGAATATTCTAAAACTAGCAGGGCTTTTTTCATAAGTGTGCTACATTGCTTATCATTACATGTTTTAGAGAATAAACTGAAGATAGTAATCAAGAACTACCTGGTAACACAGTTTAAATTGGTGAGTTATAGAAATATTCCACATGAGAAAAACATACAATCAGTCACATTAAATATGAAGTATATGTCCTTGAAAAACCTGAATAATTGAAAAATAGCATAATTAAGACTAATTGCCCCATATACATGAAGTAGAAGGATATATTCTCAGAATACATAAAAATACAATATGGAAAATTTTTATAAATGCACATTAATATTTATGTAGACAACACATTAACACCTTAATTGGACAACTTTGTAGTTAATAGCATCATTAATAGTACAAGAATAATTTATTAATCACATATTTAAAAATATACAACATAATGTATAAAGTTAATTTAATGATATTTCATTAACTAATGCTGTATATTGCCTGAAAATAATTATAGAAAAAGTAATAATTAATTAGAAATTATTATCTTCCAACAACATAAATAACGGAGAGTTTACTAAATTAAGACAAGCTATCTCTCCACATTATAGTGAAAGCCAGTCTGGTTCTCTGCAAGACTTTTGTTAAACAGTGAGTCTGATATAGTTTGAGCTTTCCTCATTTTTTTTTCCACTGAGAATTTCTTGACATGCAGATGCATTTTCCACCTTTTTTGCCTTGTCATCACAGACTAACAATCCATATTTGGAATATCTTCTTCAAAACTAGTAACTGCTACTAAAATATGGTCAAAAGCCTATGCCAGTAGCTTTACTGTTAGTTGAGCTAAAGGCCTAGGCTAACTGCTATGGTCTTTGTCCTGCTACCTTTGTATTTCTAATTGCAGCCCAAGTGAATCAATTTTGTGCAGGTCTACCTTATATACAAATATACTTTACATATAAATATATAAATATACCTTATACAGACTGCTTATTAACAAATGCTATACTGTCATTCAAGTTAAAGCCTCTTTAAGATTTTGATAGCTGTAGATAGCAGATACACCTTGCCTGCTCATTTTTGTATTATTAAAACTTCAATGAGCTTTAAAATTGGAAATGCATCCATGACTTAACAAAAACCTTGTACTCACCGAGTACATTTGAATGAAATTTCAAATCATCAAAAATGTTGTATGCCTGTATTAGTAAGATTTTTTCCCCACTTATTCCATTATCTTTGGCTGGCCATAAGATACTTTATAAACTATGAAGAGTACCTGTTTTAATGCTGCTTTTGGTGTTCTGAGCACTATCTCTAATAGTGGGCAGGGTACACTTTTCTAAATTAATCATATAAGGTATCATAACAGTGGTTTGGCCATCTTCGTAGATTTTCATCACATCTAACTTCTGTCCAAAGTTACTGAATTTGGGGACACACATTTCAGCACTAATACCACCATGTAACAACATTGTTATGTGACATAAGAAAAGATTTTTAATTATATCAAGAGTAATTATATCAAGAGTAAATTAACATTTACCACAACAGTCACCAAAAATATTAACCTAAGATCTGGTATAATAGCATGCGATACTAATAAAAGGTGATAGTAATTTTATTCCTCTGCTAAAAGGCAACAATGGCACAAATTTGTAATCTTTTCAGCCCACCAGATTTGAAATGATGCACTTCTTGAAAAAAATAATTTCTTTAATTTGGGGGACATTCCACAGTACTTCAAATTTGAAATATAAAGTAAGAGTTTAAACGTATTTTCATTTTGTACTATTTTCAGCCTCACATACTTCAAAATTACAATGATACTAAACTTTCAAAACATTTTCTAGTCCAAAAAGAAAATGCTGAATATAGTAAAAGAGAAAAATAAGCAACTAGATTGAATTATCAAGCATTTAAAGAAATTAAGAAACCTGAACACAAATGAATAGTACAATAAATCCAGAATATTTTCATTTTGTACTATTTTCAGCCTCACATACTTCAAAATTACAATGATACTAAACACTTTCAAAAAATTTTCATTTTGTACTATTTTCAGCCTCACACACTTCAAAATTACAATGACACTAAACTTTCAAAACATTTTCTAGTCCAAAAAGAAAATGCTGAATATAGTAAAAGAGAAAAATAAGCAACTAGATTGAAATATCAAGCATTTAAAGAAATTAAGAAACCTGAACACAAATGAATAATAAAATAAATCCAGAATATATTTTTCTTTTTTTTTTTTTTTTTTGGTACCAGGGATCGA